ATACTAACTTTTTAATATATGCAAAATGTTTGTTTCCCTGTTGAAGGAAAGTACATTTGCAACCCCTTCCAGACATCATCTTTATGAAGGCAAACTCCGAGGTGCTGCAGTGTGCTACAGCAGACTCTCCACTCTCCACTCTACTCACAGGACTGAGTCCTTTCTTGCTGCCCCCACCCAGTGTGGCCGCTGTCCCTCTCGTCCGTGACATTCCATCACACTATGACCAGAGGTCCTTAGGTAGAGTGCGCACTGCTTAATTACTAACAGAGCAAGCCTTCTCTCTCTGCTGTCACAGAACGATTTCAAATAAGCATGATTCAAGTACAAATAGAAATGCTGCGCCCCATGATTTAAGCATTTGCCGCGTGCATCCAGGCACCGTGAGCGATGAGGTCGCCCCAGCGTTGCTTGCTCATCTGCAGACTGCTCAGATTAGAACGCTGTTCTAGGCGAGGATTCTGTGAGGCTTACTCGTGTTTCTGTACAAAAGTAGCTCTGCACGTACAGTCTTAGTTGAACACACTGGAAGTCATTCTAGAGAGCACATACTTACCCTTGCCTGAAGCATACAGTCCAATGCAGCAGCAGGTGTGATCGTAAGTATTAGAAATGACAACAGCAGCAGATCTCAAGCTCTCCTCTGCAGGCACATACACCGCAGAGTTCTGACTGGTCCTAGCAGAGGCCACTCATGCATGCTGGGGCTCTGCTCACCAGGGCCACACCCAGCGCTGAGTCTGAGGCACGACTGCTACTTCTGTCCGTGGATGCCCCACCAGCGCTCTTACTAACTTGCATGTGGGTTGTGCCCATTTTCACAGGGCCTTGAACTGCACCATGATGTTATTTGCACGGCCTCATTCTGTTTCTCTGACGTGGATATTGATAGCCCTGGCCTGCGCATCCTGCCTGGTATACGCACAAGTTGATTGTGCTTTTGCCTTTTCATTTCTAATTTCATGCATTTGTGTCTTTTTTCCTTATTTAAGATTGGCTAAAAGGTTGTCCTGTTTTTTTTTTGTGTGTGTGTGTGTGTGTGTGTGGAGCTGAGGATTGAACTCAGGCCCTTGCACTTGCCAGGGAAGCACTTATTCTACTGAGCCATCTTCCCGGCACCTGTCCATTTTATTTATTCTTTCAAAGACACAGTTCGTTGATTTTTTTTTTCACTCAATTTATTCTTTACTAATTTTTGTCTTCTATAATTTTTCTGATCAGGACTGTGGATTTGAACTTCTCTTATTTTTTCAGGAATTTGAGATGTATCATTATTTATGGGAGTGAACTTGTTTTGTTTCTTTTTTACTGGTACCGGGGATTGAACTCAGGACCCTGCACTTGCCAGGCAGGCGCTTATTCTACTGAGCTATCTCTCCCCAGCCCCTGAACTTGTTTTTTCTGAAGTGCACATTCACCCCTTAAGTTCTTCTCTTGGTACTAATTTCATTGTGCTCTTTTGGCTCTCTTATGTTGTACTGGTGATATAATTGGATTCCACGAATTGTCTAATGTTTTCATTAACTTTTGAGACATTATTTATGAAAGATAGTGTTATGGTTTCTGTCTAGGTGTCCCCCCAAAGCCTCATGGAGTCTTGGGGTGGCTTCTGGAGTTTGTGGTTGATTACTGTGGGTGTGAATGCTGCACCTGCCCTGGGGCCGGTAATTTGCATTACAGTGTAAGGAGGGAAGAGAAGCCAGCTGCTTGAGCTGCTGCTACCCCTCCCTTGTGCTCTTGCTCTTTGCCACGGCCTTGAAAGGTTGCTTTCAGCTGTGTGCTGCTCTGTGTTGGACCCAGCTGAGTATGGACTGAAAGCTCCAGGAACTGTGAGCTAAATAAACCTTTCCTTCCTTCATTTTGAGTGTCGGGTATTTGTCTCAGCAACGAGAGAAGAGTAACTAAGACAGATAGTATTCTTTAGTTTCTATGTTTTTGCATATATTTTATAGTTTTTGACACTGATTTCTAGTTTCATCGCCCTATGATCTGATAATGTGCATGCAACAAGGCTGACTCTGTTGTACTCACACAGGAGTGCCGTATGGGCCACACATTGCCTACTTTGGAGAATGTTGCACGTGCTGTGGAAAAGAACATGCACATTGCTGTCCTTCGGTGGCCACTCTGTAGGTATCTACTAGGTTCTCTTGTTCAAAGTTTCCTTCCACTCTGATATTTCTCTGTTGTTTTGTCTAGCTGACCCACCTGTTTGTGGCAGTAATTTCTGAAGTTCCCATTAAATTTGCACTGGTGTGTATTTGGCTTTTCGTGTCCAGTGGTGGTTCTATGGAGGTTGGTGCATCAGTGTCCATAATTGTCATTTCTTCATGTTCAACTGTATGCTTACCCAGTGCAGTGAATTTTTTTATGTCTTCTGATTACTTTTGACTTAAAATCCATTTTATTTTAGATTAGGATAGCTATTCTTGTTTTCATTCAGTCTGTTACATGGAATACTGTTTTCTATTCTTCGATTTTTAATCTGTGAATTTCATTTTAATGTAAATGTGCTTCTTTCATATCATATATGCTTGGGGCTTTTTTCCCCCTCAATCTATTCCATCAGTCTATGTCTTCTGATTAAGGAATTGAGACTCTTTATTGAGAGTTACTACTGAATGGTATGGAATTGTTCCTGTCATTGTATTGGGTTACAGTTTCTGATTTCTTTATGTTCATTCTTTTTATTTATTGACCTTGTTGACATCTGTTTCATCATAGAATAACTTGGTAATTTTTTTTTCCTGCTCAAAGGTTTATTTACAACATATTCCAAATGTTCTGCTTTGCATGCCAAAGCTTTTACCAGTAGCAACAAGGTATTCGATAAATAAGGGTTAAGTACAAACTAACTTAGACCCCAAGTACAACCAGCCACAGACCCCGATGAAAATCACTGGTCAGGACAGGACAGATAAATTCAGATGAAAATGCAAAGAGAGTTCCTTCTGCTGAGGATGGTTCGTGGCCTTGGATATGCTTTCCAGTGATGCTTCTGTCTTTCTTTATATCATCAGGCATGGTCTTTGCTGAAGAGAGCTTAAGGTCTTACATCTTTCTGTGGGGGTGGCCTTTATCACATGATTGCTCTGTGCATGAGTCAGAATGTCTGGCCCTTTGATGCAGTTCAGGCCCTCTGTGAGCCACCATGGGATGGCTGAGGCCTTTAGTGTAGTTGTAGCACGATTCCCCTTCTTCCTCTGCCCAGTCCTGTTTCCTCAGCCCCTGTAGTTCTGATCCTGAGAGTGCTTCCCATTCCTCTTGTCCACAAAGCTCTGGTTTTGTCTGCCTCTCTGGGAACAAGACTGTAATCGGTAATTTTTTATAATATTGTTAGAATGTAATGAATTTCTTAGGGTGGCCATTGTTATAGAAATAAAACTTCTTCATCAATTGTGAAGGAAACTTTTTCAGGATACATAACTTGGAAGTTGCTATCTTATAGGATTTGAGACAGTTTCTTACAGAATCCTGACCTTTATGATTTATGAGAAGTCTAGTGCAATTCTAATGGGCTCACATTTACGTGGAATTTGTTGCATTCACTAATAACTGTTAAGAGTTTGTCTGCATGCTAAGCATCTGGCAATGTAGACACAATGTGGTGGAGAGAAGTTTTCACAAGATCCTGGCTACGCAGTACCCTGCGTGCCTCTCTTATCTGCTTGTACATTTCTTTTCCTACAATCAGAGTGCTCCACCTTGATTTTTCTGAATAGGTGTTTTTATTCCATTCATGTTGTCTTCAAATTTTCCCGACTGAAGTTGTGTTTATAGTCTTGTGCACCACCTAGCAGCTGGTGGATCCATTTCCCTGTCCCTCGTCTCCTTTAAGGTGTCTGAGTAGTTGCTCTTTGGAGGTGCCCTTGGATTCCATTTCTGAAACTGTGTGCTCACAGTGGTCACTTCTGCAGCATTCAACATCATTGTTATTCTCCTGGCTCTATGTTTGCAGCCTTTCTGTGGACACTAGCACTTTGATAAGAGGCCACTTCTAATTGTTTAGCACATCTTACTGCACATCACTAGCTTCTGAAATCCTGTGTGTCATTTTGGGTACTTTACTTGTCTATGTAGCTATAGCTTCCACGGTGGGAACTTCTCAGATTCACGTGGCACTGTCTCGTGTGGCAGTGATTCATTTTCTATAGTCCTTGACTCTTGGTAAAGACTTCTCATCTGCAGTACTTCCCCTGCGTACAGCTAACACTGCACTTCATTTCCACAACCCTAATAAGCAATGGATCATTCTCCTAAGGTGTTTTTTTTATTTTTCGGTAAGGATGATTGAACTTAGGACCTTGTGCTTGCCAGGCAAGTGCTTGTTCTACTGAGCTACCTCCCCAGCCCGATAAGTCTAAGGGACTGACAAGTAGCATGGGGAAAATTTGGTAACAGTCATTACGAAAAGTCATCAAATACCAAATAAAAGGGATCATCCATATCCTGGTGAAGAGCACTTACAAGAAACCTACAACCCATATCACATGGAAGGGTAAAAGATTGAATGGTTTCTCCCCAAGAAAAGAAAGCGAGGAAGTCTATTCGCAGCACTCACACCCAATGTGCAGTGAAGATTTTGGCAGGGCATCAGGAAAACCAACCCGAAAGGGAAGAAGTGAAACCCAGCCTATCACCAACCTACGTATAAATATACAATCGTATAAGCCTACCAAGAGAGCTTCTACAAATAATTATTTTAATCAGGGTGTAAAACACGAGACCCACCGTAACATTAAATTATATTTATTGGAGAAAACCGGAAGAGGAGCGGTAAGCGCAGAAGAAAGGCTCATTAGCCAAAGGGAAAACTCTGGCGTGGCCCCACCTGGCCAGCTACGATCAGAATGTCACCATCAGAGAGCAGGGTCGGCTCCACCCTGAACTCGCTTCTCGATTTCGCTCAGGATGAACTATTTGGTGAAATTTTGGCATCAGCTGGCGGTAAAGCCCACCTCAGCGCATACGATTCCTTTAAGAGCGGTGTGGGGGGAAGAACTCAGTCTCCCACAGAGCTTTGCGGCGGTCCTAAGGAAGGACCCGGATCACTGCCAGTTTCCAGGGCTCGCGTCGGCTCCTCCGGTCTCCATAAGATGACGTCACTGGGCGCTCACGTCATCAGCGGTGCGCCTGTGGGGCCAGCTCCCGGGGGCGGGGCTGCCGGGTCCGCGGCTGGCGGAGGCCCAGCTGCTGTCCGCGGTTGGGGCTCTCAGCGGTGCTAGCGCTCCACACTTCTAGTGAGCGCCAGATGCAAGGAGTTAGGGAAAAACCTGGCGTAGATAAAGAGCTCAATGCTGCTTGAGGGCGTGCAAACGTGCAGTGCCAGCAACTGTGGGGTTGTGAGAAATGGATTTCTCTACTCCAGATTGAAATTCCCTCCCTCTAACTGACCCAGCGTTGAACCACGCGCTCCTTTGTGCCACCAAGTTGCCAACCTCCAAAGACCGCAAGCTTCTGAATTCAGCCCCTGGACGTAAAGACGCAGTGCTTCCCATGCGGGAGGGCTTCAGCCCCCGTGTCCGCCATGCCCAGGGCATCGGCTCCTCACTGCCGGGTGTGAGGCTCACTTGCAGAAGCAAAGGCCTTGTCCAGATTCCTTGATGTCAAGTGTCTTACACGTCGCTCAAGCCAAACAGTTGCAAACAGGAGTATCACCGGCCTCCAGCTGTCCTCCTTCTAGAAATATTAGCGTGCAAAGGAGGCACGTTTCCAACTGTGAGGGAGGAGCTCCTGTGCGAAGACCAGTCTGCATCTCTGCCTCGTCCCGGGGAGGTGACCAGAGGGAGCAAGCTTGGGGCTCAGTGTCGGCAACCACTGAGGCTCTCAGGCCTCGCAGGTATTTGAACGCTGGGGGATATTTCCGTTGATCCTCAGTGAAATATAAAGCTTGTCTAAGGGAGTTGCAGCGCTTGCTCTCATCTTTTTTCCAGAACACACTGTCCCTTAACGCTTAGTTCTCCACCTACGCGATCACCGTTTACCCTGCAGGGGGAGGGACGCATTCCCTTTGTTGAATGAAAGTGAAAGGCCGAAGGCAGTGTGAAAATCTTGACAAGGAAACGAGCGGCCTCGAGGCCCAGTGTCCACCTGCGCTAAGCCACGCTCCCTCCATGTGACCCCGTTCTGTGTGCGCTCCCCGTTCCCTTCCATCAGCCGAGTGACGCTTCCACAGGACGCTGACCACGCGCCTCCGGCGCGCACCAGGAACCCCATTTCTGGAAGGGCACACTAAGCCCATCAAGAAAACAGGGAAGTCTTTGGAAGGCCGGAGCAAACTGCTTACGTGCTATCATTGTCAGGTGAGGGCGACAGTGCAGGACAGAGCCTCGTCCAGAAGAAGCTCCAGCGCAACCACCTACCGCCTGAGCGCTACTCCCGCCCACCGCAGTCCACCTCCTCGGGGAGGCGGGGCTTGCAGCAACAGCCAATCAGGGACGAGGGGCGGCTGCGCGATTGTCCAATCAGGAGCACCGAGGTGGGCGGGCACTTCCCGGGTCCAGCTCCGCGTCCAGGTGACATTGCGGAGTGGCCTCTTTTCTGCAACTTTCAGCGACTCCCGCCGGCCGCGCGCTGCGAAGGACTCCGGGGGGACGCCCGCGATGGTGAGGCTGAGGCTGAGGCGGGGCCGGGGCCGGGAGGGCGGGCGGGCAGGCGGGGTGCGC